TTGATCATGCTGCTTAAGGAAGTAACTCCTCCATCGTTGATCATGCTACTTAAGGAAGTACCTCCGTAGTTGATCATGCTTCTTAAGGAAGTACCTCCTCCGTCGTTGATCATGCTGCTTAAGGAAGTACCTCCTCCGTCGTTGATCATGCTCAATCTGAGAGCCATGATAAAGCATTATTATTTAACACCACAATTTCCTTTGTAGCAAGTTTCTGTGAGTTAAGGCAAGGTCAGTTGTAGAACACACATTTAGTCAACACTGCTGTATGAAAACATTGGTTTCGAATACCATGTTCGAGTAAACCAGACGTCCATTAGAGCAGTGTCAGGGAACTATAAAGGCATATATAACCAAAGCCAAAGAAGTCCATTGGAGTAGTGTCAGGAAACTATACAGGTGTATGAAACCAAATTCACAAAAGGCCATTGGAGTAGTGTCGGAGAGCTATACAGGTGTATGAAACCAAAGCCACAAAACATAGTTGTATGAAACCAAAGCCACAGAAGTCCATTGGAGCAGCTTCAAGGAACTATAAACCAGCCATTAAGTTTGAAGTGTGAGTGGAAGTTTGTGAACTTTTGAATTTTGAATTTTTTTAGATGAAAAAACCCGAACAACTTATATATCAAAACAAAACATTTATTAAATGAAATAGTTTCCATTCTTATCAATGATGCTTTTCCATCTTACAATCAGGTTGTTAATGCCCTGATTAAAGAAATCACTTGGCTTTGAAGTAAAAAACATCTCGATGTCCTCTTTAACACCTTCCATATTTGCATACGTTTTCCCATTAAGATGGTGTTGCAGATGGTAACTTAAGGTGCAAGATATGGAGAATATGGTGGGTGTGGGAGAACTTCCCAACCCAACTCCATAATCTTGTGTTGAGTCAAACGTGCCACATGTGGACTTATATTGTCGTGGAGAAGAACACCTTTCTGATTGACGAGTGAAGGGCGTTTCTGATGAAAGGCTTGATTTAAACGTTCCAGTTGCTGACTATAGATCTCTGCATTGACAGTTTGCTGTGGATTGAAGAGTTCAAAATGAATTACTCCTTCGATGTCCCACCAAATGCAAAGCATCACTTTCTACGGATGGAGTCCAGGTTTTTGGGTCTGAAGTGGTTTTTGTCTAGGACTGAGCCATTGTTTTTGGTATTTTATATTTGCATAGAGAATCCATTTTTCATCACCGGTGACAATTCTGTCCAAAAAATGGTTCACTCGTATTACGTGCCAGAAGAGACGAAGCAACGTTCACACTTTGGAAACGATAATCATCGGAGAGTTCGTGTAGCACCCAAACACCTTCTGTATGGAGTTTTCCCATATTCCTTAGATGTTTACGTATTGTTTTATGAGAGACATGCAATTTCAGGGCCATTTCACGAGTGTGTTGTCTTGGGTTATACTCAACAAGCGTCTTCAGAGCATCATTATCAATTCCAACATGTCGGCCCCTGCCATCACAGTTTTTAAGGCTAAAGTCACCTGAATGAGATTTACGAACGTTCAAAACATTTCCATAAACTTCTTTGACATTCTTTGTGGCTACAGAGGCATTGTTTCCCTTCTTGTATTCGAACA